AGGTTTAAGATATAGATAAACGTATTGTAGGCTTGAATAACGAATAGCCAAGAAAAATGAGTTCTCATTGACTCAGATATCGAGGCAATAGACAGTGCGAAAAGGGGGGGGGTCGACAGGAGACGCTGTCTTCTATTATTCGCGACATTCGCTCACGGGGGTCGACCTTCTGTGTCTCATACTATAATTAATCAATATATCGAAGGCAACGTAGGCTAAAAACCTCGCTTGGTTTTTCAATTTTTTCTCTATAGGCTTGTGAAGTGACAATGTTTATGGTGAATGCATTCAACCGTATATGCGTATATCACGCATAAGCAGTTCAATGCATAGCAAAGCCGTGTAGCATGTACATGGACTGAGAACTAAGAGTGTCTTGGCTGAACGGTCAATAAACACACTTTTGCAAAATATGCGAAATAAATGAACTGTGAAGTACCCTAGGCAGTAAAAATTACTGAAAATCTTCGAAAAAGTAAGCAGTCACTAGTTTCTGGTTCATTTTGTTGGGCAAAAAGGAAAAGTGCAGTGGTACTTTAAGAGGCTTTTTTCGAACAATTTCCATTTAAGCGGAAGAAACACTGTTCCTTTTGTCTTTGGCATTGCAACGGCTTGTAAATTTTTCAAGTTCGGTTAATCTTTTACACCATAATATCAGTATGCATATTCTCCATACTGTTTTCTATACATTTCTTAAGGTGCTGGCAAGGAGAATTTGTTCAACAATCAAGAGCTTCTGTAGTTAGTGATCATTTCCTTTATTCTCATGAGCCTAATGTGTATTTCGGGGGTGATAATGTAAGGAGAAATTATTTGCTAGTCACTCTTTGTGAGTCTAAGGGGTGAAAGCGTTAAAACAATGGATCATCGAGGATAGAGATATCCCCTCTAAACATTGCTAGCTTTAATTTTCGCTTTAATTTGAACACAACTCTAACATCACTAAAAGGCTGATCATTTTGAAAACTTTACTAATCTTAACTACATTAGGAGTGAAGACATCCGGATTTACTGCCCGGTGTCGTTTACCCTTTAGGTACTTATTTCTCCATACAGTATTAACCTTGAATCAAATATAAAGGTCATGCGAATAAAGGAAATGATCGCCAATTTCAGAAACTCATGATGTCATCAATCAAGTTCTCTCTGTCAGTGCAGTGACGTAGGAAATGTAAAGACAACATTATGGAGGATATGAATGCTAACCGCTAGGGTGTAAAGGGTTAAGGGCTTATAGTTTCTAAAGAAACGGTTTGGGGCTGCGTCGGTGGGGGTAACGAAATAATTTGAATATATCAACAAAGTTGAAATGGTAAATTGGCCACTGTTACGATTATAAAAGCTGACGTTTCGAGCGTTAGCCCTTCGTCGGAGCGAAAGGGTTAACATGTCATTCATTCATCTCGCCAGATGTTTTATCGTCGTAAGTCTATTTACGAGCCAAGTGGCCCATCACGCCGGCGCTTAACTCCTGTTTCCGCTGCATGAAGCAACTAGGAGTATTTCTTCTTCTAGCCCTTCGCTCCGACGAAGGGCTAACGCTCGAAACGTCAGATTTTATAATCGTAACGGTGGCCAATTTACCATTTCATGAAGCATGAAGCATGAAGCATGAAGCAACTAGGATTGTTTCTTCATGAAGCATGAAGCAACTAGGAGTATTTCTATTTCTAGCCCTTCGCTCCGACGAAGGGCAAACGCTCGAAACGTCAGCTTTTATAATCGTAACGGTGGCCAATTTACCATTTCAACTTTGTTGATATATTGAAAGTATTTCTACTCCCCCCTGGATGAGATGCTAGTCCATCGCAGGACTACCCCCCACCCCAGCATTATATTCATCACTACCCATTTAAACACCTGGGTGAAGAGAGGCACTGTGGGAGTAAAGTGTCTTGCCCATGGAAATAATGACTCTCACCTTTCTTACGCCACACCTTTCAATCTAGGTTGGGCATATTCAAGAAATGGAGTTAACAGAGGGTGCAAAACACACCGTGAGAACTCTAAGCTTACAGCCACCAGTGTTTGGTAAGTGATGTAAACGGTTGACGAAACTACTAAAAAAATAGTTTAGAGTTTAATACAACGGGTGCAACTTATTCTTCGACTACCACTCTTCGCTCGGGAACCTGTTCTACAAATTCGATGCCAGTATTACATTATTCCCGTCCTAGAAGGATAAACAACCGTAAGAGATGACGAGTCGAAGATAATAAAATGACTCTGATGTATTGCCCTCGATTGTACTGCAACCCTTATTAATCATTAAGGATATTCAGCTCAGACTGGTACCCATTAACAGGTCACTAAGATAGTTAATAGAATTAAAGAAAAGTTGCATTTTACGTCAATGCATGCATTGACCTCCTCCCCTCACCCCTGTTGCAACAAATCAACTGCCTTAGGCAACTTGCTGGTCAATTTTTTTACGTTTAGTGCATACACTAGGGACTGGTCATAAATTTTTCTTGAGGGGGATGGAGGATTTTGGCTGTCACATCAAATTTTACCTGATACCCCCGCCTAAGGCTCTTTAATATTCTTATCCCCTGTCACTGGCAGTTCATCGGCGGTCAGTCTTCTATAGTGCCTGCACTATACTCTGTTGGCGACGACTGATCCCCTTCCGTTCCCCTTAAAAACTAGGTGACCCCCCCTCCCAAATCATCCACCCCAGCAGGCAATAAATAATGAATAGTCCCTCAATTAAGTTTCATTATAAAGAGTCATTTTCTTCAGATACTTAACTGTTTTGTACATTTTTATTGCACAGAAATTCCAAATTTTTTCACTGATGAAGAATGTGAAATGATCATTGATTTAGCCCAAGAAAAGGGAATGAGCGAAATTCCGCTGACCGAAAATAATGACAACAGTGGTAATGAAGATTTGATAGAACACAAATTTAAAGCTTGGGACAAAAATGAAGATGAATTTATCGACAAAACTGAGGTAAGAATATCTGATTATCTTTCGACCACTTTTTGGTCGTTTTCTGTTCAGTGGTGTTCTGCTAGTGCTTCCTCCTCAAACTCTAAATCTGAATTCTAAATTTTCGGAAGATTCGACCGAATCCATCATGTTATAACTGACAGAATTATGTTTTCTTGTGTAGGCCCTTCACATACCTGAAAAAAGAAATATCTATTCAACAGAAGACGATATTCCAGAAATGTGAGTTCATTCAAATTATACCGGCTTATTGTTATGCAAGTTTAATGACCCAGTCTCGTTAAATTCGATCAACAACTCATTCTTTGCCAATACCGGCACCAAAGTGAGGCAAACCTCATCTAATGGTTAAAACACACAACAGTCTGAGACTAAAAGAAATGAATATTACTGCCCTTTTTGTTTCTATTGTTGTTGCTGTTGTTGTTGTTGCTGTTGTTGTTGTTGCTGTTGTTGTTGTTGCTGTTGTTGTTGTTGCTGTTGTTGTTGTTGCTGTTGTTGTTGCTGTTGTTGTTGTTGTTGTTGCTGTTGTTGCAAAACTGAGTCTTCATTACATGGTTCAATGTTTCTAGTAATTTCTAGAAACTACTACTTAACATCAAGGACTTTTAAATGGGGTCATTATTCTTATAAGATGATTTGTTAGAATAACACTGGTTTTCCCGCCCTTTGATGGTTTTGCCCATGGGGCATCGCAGGCGTCGGTCCTTTTTTTTTTTCCTGTAGCAGCCATCTTGGTTTTGTTAATTGTTTTGAGCTCGAAATGAATGGTTCTATTAATTTGACGACTTATTTCTGCTTATTCAACTGTTCTGCTATCGAGAACAATCATACGAGTGAAGAAATGACCTCCAATGAGGTTGTCAAACATGCTTTCGCTCTTTAGAAAGTTCTTTAGAAAATGCGATTGTTCAACACAATAATGCCACTACTTAAGCAGTAGTTAAAATAAAGCCTAACAAAAGTTCATTACTCCACACATCCGGGTACTGGTAACAGTGAAAACAATGTTTTTTGATTTTCGATCTTAAATTGTGACGTTTTCTTTTTATAACTGAAGGTTTGCCGCCTTGAACTTAGATCAAGACGAAGATGGTAAGACTTTCTCTCTATCCCTCTAGTCTCGTTATTTCAGACTTGATACAGAATTTAGTCCCTCAAGTGAGTTAATGCGACGGTTAATGCACAAAGTTAACAATTTTCTTTTCAGCCGGTTTCTTTCCAGTCATGTTAAAAATAACAAAACTGATTTGATTTTCTCTTGCCGTTACAACCTTCCATAAGAATTCCTCAGAGTTGCTTCGAAGAAATAAAAGAATTCTACAAATAACTTTGTAAAATATTTTCTAAAGGTAAACTATCCATGAAAGAGCTTGAACAGACTTCATTAGAAGACCTAAACGCCTATTTTGACAAAGAAAAGCTGGCAAAGCCGCGCCTGCGCAGTCATAACAATCAACAAGTGTGGTTATGGCACGATGAAGATGAACTTTTACAATACGAAGGATTATTAGAAGATTATCATGACCGGTAAGGATTGATATCAATACTTGAATTAGACACACTTCTTAATTTCTTGACTTACTTAGCAAGGCAGATCCGTACCCAGGGGTATTTAAAAACCCCGGTTACACTGTTTAGCTTGCAAGTAATGTCTCGTGTTTGGATTTCACCCTGCGGCCCATTTTCGGGCTTAGCCTATCACTAAATTAGCAGCCACTTTTGGCACAGACTCATTACAACAACCTTTAAATTATCTGATGCAATCTGATATGTCTCATTTCTCAGACTTCAGCAACTCACCAAGCTACCAAAACCGATAATTGAGCAAAGTGAGCCCATGCAGGTTTGTAATTAGCGTAACTGCTGTTAAATCTTGTGTTAAAATCAATCCCTGTTTAATTCTTATCCTTTATCGGTATTTTTCCTTGATGCTCCTTCTTCGTAGGTCGTACATTATAAGGAACAAGGACATTATCACTGTCACCATGACAGCCAGTCGATCACGCATGACAAACCTTGTTGTATGTATGGCTCTAGTGATTGCAGGCTCTGCAGGTAAATGAACGTCAATCAAATGAGATACTGACCAATCAAGAATTTCAATGAGAAGGAAAATAACTGTTAAAATTTTTCTTTTGAATGTTTCTGTTAATCTTATAGTGATACTTTATGACCACATATGCTCGGTTTATTTTGTCGCCCGCTACATGATCTGCAACAACAAGTCTAGGATCTCTTCTTTCTCGTCGTTTACAACCTTAATGTCTTATGCCTTGGGCATCTTTTTAAGAGTAACTTCACTTCTACCCACGGCGACTTCGGAGGAAACTAACAATAACTAAAGACGTTGCATATTAAGTGTGATGCATTACTATGTAGTCTCACTTACTCAGTTTGTATGCTTTTAGTAGTGTTTACCCTTGCCCTCTTGAACTTGTAACAAAAAGGAGGTAATTTGTAATAGTAAATCGGTATTACATGTTCCCAAGAACCAGTAAGATGCTGTCGTAGAAATCCACCCTCTTCCCCTGCGGCTTTACCAAGACAAAGTGTTGATTTATTATAAAGAAAAATCAAAGCCTGTTCCCAAACGTCAACAAGACACTGCTATTTCTATTACACATATTATACTATTAACCTTAAGACCATGGCAGTTTTCTTGTGATTTTCAAACGTTAAACTATATGTTGCAGATATCTAACGATCATGGTCTTTCTAAACGATGTCGATGAAGGAGGAGAATGTGCATTCCCCCTTGCTGATAACACGACTTTCAGCTGGCAGGTATCCAAACCATTTACCCTTTTGAACGTCCAAGATCAAAGTCATAAGTCTAGGTAGCTCCTACACATGTCCATTAACATCAGTTGCAAGAATTTCGTGCCATGTCAAGATGACATGATATCTATATAAGTAATAAGAATGTTGATCTCCATCACCTGCCTCGCTGCGTCATGAAGAGTAGTTACTTGCTGATCGAAGCTGAAAGGATCAGTTTCCTTCTATCAGTCAACTGATCATCAAAAATCATGCTTAAACCGAAGTTTACATACCTTTCTCAAGCTCCAACAATTTAATAAGCGTGCAGAGCTTTTAACAAAAGGAATACGGTAAATACTTTGCAAAACACAACAATTTAACACGCAATATATGTTAGCCATTCATTTTGCTATGAGGCTTCCCATTTGTGTGAATTCCCAAACACATAAGACCACTCGAGAATCAGATAAGAAAACCATCCGATGAAAGAGAAAGACTTCCATGTACAAGCTAGGATGTCCTTAGTAAAATCTTGATATCAAATACTATCAAACGGTGCCACTTATTTTTGTTCTACAAAGCTGCGTTCATACTTGGTGCCCGAGCACGGAGTCCGAGTACGTTTCTGGATGGGCACTAATGTGAACACAGCTTTTTTTCAGGTACCCACGCCAGAAATTCGGGCACTGAACCGGGCACAGATTTATCGAGTGCCCAGTGCCTGAACACAGCACCATTTTGTGCCGGTGCCCTGGCACTAATGCTCGGCCTTTAAGTGTGAACGCATCCTAAGACGATAAAAGCGTGAGATATCGCCATATTAACTTTTCATGCCTGTTAACTATTTTTGCAAGGCGTGGTCCAACGAGTCAGTTCAAAGATGTAACATGGTCAAGCACTGTGATAAGTCCAACTTAGTGATCAAACCACAGAGAGGAAAAGCCTTGCTTTGGTATAATCATTTGTACGATGGTACTCGTGGATGGCTGGGCGAGTTAGATCCTCTATCATATCAAGGGAGCTGTTATGTTCAAAAAGGCGACAAATGGGTGGCGAAGATCTGGATTAATATCAACGGTGATGGTGATGAGGAGCTCAGAGTATGGAAGATGGGTCACAACTGGCTTGCTAAGAATAATTACAACGAAGAGATAGTGAATGCTTTACGCTCTGAGATCCATCAAAATAAATACGCAAGGGATATAAATGAAAATATTGCGGTGAATATTAAAAATGAGCATCTTTCGAAAGAAGACGCCGCCATTACTGCAAACGAAGAAAATACCAAATCAGATGTAAATGAACAAAGCAGCCGTGACACATCGGACAGCGACGAGGAAGCAACCGTTGTCAGTTTAGATGATGTACCAGAGCTTACACCAAAAAGTCCTAAATTAGCAAGAACAGAAACGTCTACGCCTCTTCCTCTTACGGAAGAGCAAATGACTCCAAAGGGTCCTGAAATTGGCCATCTTCCACTCAAAGAGTTTCAAGGAAACAGAATAGTCCAATCTATAATGCTGCTTTTAGAAGAGCTCGATCAGGTGGAGCTTGAAATAATTGCGAGGAATTTGCACACGAAACTAAAGCTTGTCTGCGTTCCTCTTATCATGAATCCTATGGGGCGTATCTAGAATATGGTACAAGTGCAGCCATGCGTATAAAAGAACG